GCCGGCGTTCAGAGCGGCGCGTGCCACCCCCGGCCCCCGAGCGCTCCTCCGGCGACGGCGCCGCCACCGGCCCCACCTGGGAGACGGCCGGCGTTCAGAGCGGCGCGTGCCACCCCCGGCCCCCGAGCACGCCTCAGGCGACGGCGCCGCCACCGGCCCCACCTGGGAGATGGCCGGCGTTCAGAGCGGCGCGTGCCACCCCCGGGCCCGAGCACGCCTCAGGCGACGGCGCCGCCACCGGCCCCACCTGGGAGACGGCCGGCGTTCAAGGCGGCGCGTGCCACCCCCGGCCCCCGAGCGCTCCTCCGGCGACGGCGCCGCCACCGGTCCCAGCCTGTAAACAAGTGTTGGGACCGCATGCCGACGCGGTCGGCGGCCGGCCACTGCCGCGGTTGCATCATGGCCGGACCGCAGTGGCTCTGTTTATGCCGGGGCCCCCCGCCCGTCACGCGCCGCCGCCGCCCCCCTCCCCTCGCCGCCGCCGCCGCCTCCTCGCGGCCGGTCGGTTGGCGCGGAGGCAGCGATCAGCGGACGTCACATGCCATTGGATAACTTACGCGACAACAGACAGCGCAGCACATGCTCCCCGTTCGAGGCTTGCGCCCACGTCCAACTCGGTTCACTTCCGGCTGACGGTTGGCACGCATGTTCTACTGCACAATGAACCATGCGGTCATCCTCAGTTGCCGGATACTGAGTGCTTCCTCTAAGTTGCCGGATACTGAGTGCTCGTCATGGGTCCTCATACGCTTTCTACGACATGACAGCAAATGGGTACAGCTCGTCATTACCGACAGCTACAAATGCGTGCACGGCACTGAGTGATGGGCGTCGGCGGACCCACAACAGTCAAAGACGGCATAAGTGGTGTATTTCAGCGTACGCCTGCGTGGTTGGAGTCGTCCCCTCCCCCCCCCCCCCCCCCCCTGGGCCCCCCGGCTCAGGCCGCACCACTTCCGCACCACGAAATTATTAACTTTGAGGCCAGTTTTTAACGAAGTGTGTAGAAAGAAGAACAAACGTCAGGAGCGAAATCAATGTTAAGCATTGTAGCCTGAAAGCTAGCTTTCCACAACCAAACTGGTGTGGAGCCCCAGGCGAGAGGATATTGTTGCAGAAACATGCATGACAATGTGCCAGCAAGATCGTCTGGTCTATCATTGTACTAATCACGTGTAAATGCATCTCTTTGGGTGAGAAGTTGTTGATTCAATAACTCTTGGTAGATGGTGCCTCGAGTGAACTTATCTCGACATGGCATGGTATGGTACAGCAGGCAGGCACCACGTCCCATTCAGGCCAGAGTAATAATAGCAGCCTAGGTCTACACCCAATGTACGGCGCGAGAACGGGATAGTTCAGGGTCTTAATCGGAGTCAGCTGCGCGCCGCGAGATGTGCGGGGCGTCGCCGCCGACCGGCCGCTTACAAAACTCTCGTCGTCTACCGGTGCCGCCGATCCAGGTGTTCGGGGCAGACGTCCACGAAACGGCCGCGGCCGGAGGGGCGGAGCGGGCGGGCGGGCGGGCGGGCCGGCGGCCGGCCGGCAGCCAGCCAGCCAAGGCCGGCTGCGGAGCATATCAGTCATCGCGTGCCAGGAGGCGCGCCGGCCGCCGGCGCCACGTGTGCGACGGGCACCGCGCCACGTGTGGTCAGGCCCGGCAGCCAGACCGAGTCGCGCCGGCGCAATCCGAGAGCACATACCAGGCAGGCGACGGCTCAGCTGCGGTCCACGCTGAACCGCGCCCGGCTGAGCGAGCCGCGCCTCCTGCCGCGTCAGTGCGATATTCCACTGTCCGGCGCCGCCGTCGGCCGGACAGCAGAACACTACACTGATGCGGCGCCCACTGCCGTGTCAGTGCCGCATTCCACTGTCCGGCGCCGCCGTCAGCCGGACGTCAGCCGAACATTATACTGATGCGGCACCCGCTGCTGCATCAGTGCGGTATTCCACTGTCCGGCGTCGCCGTCAGCCGGACAGCAGAACACTACACTGATGCGGCACCCGCCGCTGCATCAGTGCGGTATTCCACTGTCCGGCGTAGCCGTCAGCCGGACAGCAGTACACTATACTGATGCGGCACCCGCTGCTGCATCAGTGCGGTATTCCACTGTCCGGCGTCGCCGTCGACCGGGCAGCGTCACGCCCCGCCGCCTCGGAGGGAGGGTGGGGGGCGTGTGGCGCTCGCTGCTGCGCCAGTGTGGTGTTCCCCTGTCCGGCGCCGCCAACAGCCGGGCAGCGTCACGCCCCGCCGCCCCGGGGGAGGCACATCTCAGACAGGGCACCGGCGCCACCGCCGCCGCCCTTCGCCGAAGAGGGGTGCCGGCGGTCCAGACTGACTCGCCGCCGGCGCGGCGGCGGCTGGCGGCCGGCGGAACATCCCGTTCTCCTAAGCCAGCGTGCCGGTACATGTGGGGCACTGAACGATCGGTGCATGTATCCGTTCACTCTCATTTTCGCTATCCGGCGGCCAAATACCTGGATTTCAAATGCAGTGCATGGACCTCCATCTGGGGCCTCACCCTAGTTGCTTGTTCGTGAAAAGGACTGAAGGGTTCACATTTATCGGCATGATCTTCAGATTTTTTTCCTTTGAATCAGAAACCATTAAAGGTTCATTTCACCATGATGTCTGTTGAAACACAAAGATTGTACCGTTACACCAAAGCAGACAATGATACTGAAACGTGTAAAATCACGCCATCTGCTGGAAGCCATAAACGTTGAAAGTGGCAAAAAAACTAGCTATCATGTTACCAAGCACCGCTTCAGGGTGCTTACCACATGTAGACAGCGATTCAACACGGCTGACTGCCAGCCATAACGCGCAGACAAGGCAAGTCGACAACGTTGATAACGTTGACAAAGCGAGAAATATATTACTGTACGTATATGCGCACTTCTGTTGCGGTTTCAAATGCTCACAAAAATAAATACCCGCAAAAATACGAGGCGGTTGCAACAGCTGGTATGCGGACGAAGGCAGAATAGCTACGGGGAATGAGAATTAACACGTTCACTCTACAGTTTTGTTTCAACGCCGCGTGGTGGGACAGCTTGGGGAGCCTGAAGCTTAGAGGGAATGTTCCACATCTGAAGACATTGAAGCATGAGTGAGATCAAATGAAACAAGCTCACTTATAACCATTGGTATACATTTTAAGTGGAAAAGCCTGCTCTAGACAGAACGATTCTCCGTTAAGCAAATATGCTTCCCAATGCGAGGTGATTTGATTACGTTATCGTACCCAACACGACATCGACTTAGAGCCAACTAAATGCCGATATATCTGGAAATCGTGCTCACCAACGCCAAACACGAACGCCTCGACAATTATATTTGTATCGGCCTTGATCGCCGCATGACTTATGGAATGGCAGCATTTAAATGACGCTATTTTCACGCCATGAGTGGCAAGGGGACTTTGGAATACTCTCACCGATATACCTCTGCCTATTTTCGCGGGCATATAGCTGAGAAATGAGGAGGGATTATGTCTTAAGACGTGCAGGATTATGAACAGCACCGAAAGGTCTTCAAGATAGCTATTTCAGTTCAAAACCACACATAAATGTGGAGCAATCCCTTTAACAAAAAATAATAAATGGAGTGTTCTGAATTTGCACCCTACGAATCACTTACAATAAAGGCAATATTCGATAATTAATAAAGTTGGAGCCCTAAAATCCCAGACGTAAAGTTCAAGTCTCAAACTGCCAGCAGAGGATAATAAAAGCCACTGCTTGAGAGGGACTAGACGGAAGCTGGTCTGTCACGTGGAATGACGCGGTTTTTATGACCCAATATAGCCTGACTGTCTCGCTGAACCGAGATGACTAATGGACAAAGTACTCCCACGCTTCCCTGAGCATTTACGACCCGGTCTTCGACGCCGAGAAGCGATCCCAACACAAGCTTCCCATTGACGGAGATGCACAGAGGCGGTGGTAGGTCCGACGGGGGCGGTCGGACGTAATGGGCCTAGCCTAAGCCGCCGCCGCCGCCTCACGGCCGGCTACCACGCCGGCTTACCACGGCCGTGCAAAGAGCCTGATAAGCGAATACCGCGCCCTCTCACCCCCATCCGGGCAGCTCCATCGCACGGCTTTGGCGGGCTCGGGTGGAGCGGCATCCCAGCGTCAGCCAGGCGTGTGCATATGCAGTCGTAACGGATAACTCAGTGGACGACCAAACCAACATGATCGAGCTTTGTGCCGCCGCAAGCGCAGCAGCCCGTTCAGACGCTGCGCTGGGGCTGCGCTCACGGCGCTGCGCTCCGCGACAGCAGCGTCGCAGTGGCCAGGAACTACATCAACTCAGCCCAGCCTATCATCCGAGTGCCACGCGCGAACAGAACGGGACGGCCACACGCTTTCCACAAGCGCAGCGCCTCCTACCAGTGGCCGTCAATATGGGGCCGCCGTGCTGTGCAGCCGACGCCGGCCGTGTGTCTGCCGTCCCCGCCGAGCCGGCCTCAGCCGTCTCAGCGGCGGCCGGCCGACAGCGAGCGCCCTCTGTCAGTTGTTCCGAGGCGCCACCTGCAGCCAGCGCAGGCTGCATCTCCGCTCCACCCAGCGTGCTACCACAGTCTGCCTTCAGCGGTCCATGCAGCTCGGGCGGCACCGTCTACCCGCCGGGCGTCCGGGCCGGCCGCGCCGCACCCCGCCGCGACTGACACGCCGCTGCGCCGTACAGCGACGCGCCTCCATGGCTTCGGCAGCGGCATCCGCCGGCAGCGCGTCTACAGGCCGGACCGCGCGCGACCACAGCGCCAGCTCGACCACGTCATGCAGCGCTCTCGTGCGGCCAAATAACGTAGATTCGGTACAGAGCCCACCGCCAGGGTGCGGGACGAGGGCGAAGCACCTTCAGTACCGCGCGAGTTCGTAACATTTGCAGGATGGGACGTTCCCATTCGAAACCAGGAATTTTAGGACTGGCTGTGATCGAAACACGAATGAGGACTGTGTTAAGCACATGACAAATATTCGGTACTCACGTCATCATTCTTCGCATTCTGGTTCTTCACCTCCTTCTGTTTCTTCTCTCTGCGCAGGAAACTGAAGCTACGGAAGCTCCTCTTCTTTTTCACCTTCTTCTCCTCCGGCTGCCCCTTCTCGTTGGCTTCCTGCTTGCCATTTTCGCCGTTCACCTCGGCGTCGCCACCGCCGCCATTCTGGTCTGCTCCGGGCTGCTGCAGCGAAAACAGCACGACTGAGATCAATAATCATGCCTTTTTACGTCCGTGCGATCATGCAGTGTAGCCGCCATACGGCATGGCAGGTCCATACAGAGCATATAAATACATCCTAGAGATCGAACTCAGTGTCATGCACAACATCAAAGAAGACAATTGCAAAGAGCCTCCCGCTGGCAGCAGCAGGCCAAGAAGAGGATAAACGTGTCGGATAATGTTTAAGTTAAGCAATACGACTTATCGATAGCCCTAGACCACATGTAAGTATGACTCATCTATAGCCTTGTGTACGTAATGTACGCAAGCCTTATCCATAGCCTTAGATTACCAGACCACCAGCGACGTCTTTCTGTTGTAAACGCTACAAATGGATTTCTGGTCTACTTCACTTGTTGCATACGAGGGAAGCGGACATTGATTTTCCCTTCCCTTCCGCTCACAGCGTTGAAAAGGTACTGACCTCCGGCTTGGTGTGCTGCGGCGTTACGTCGCCATTGTTCGGGGCGTCTTCCTTTGCCTCAACAACCTCAATCTTGGCGTCAACCACGCCGCCCTTCTTTGGTGAACCTGTCGTCACTTGGAATGATCGCTTGCTCTGTTTCAGACCCATCGTGCACAGCAGTGCGTCTGGAAGCACGAAAACCGAGATTAGATGGATGGGATCGACACACAAGAGACACAAAACGCCCGCAAAAGCTGAGCCCCCCCCCCCCCCCAATAAAAACTAAAATCTCCCTCCTTCAAAAAAAACTTAAAAAGTGGCATTGATGCCATGGGAGTTAAATGGAAAGAAAAATGACCAAAAATCGGCATCAACCCCGTCCCCCCCCCCACACACACACACACTTCGGATGGCTTTAGTAACCCCTCGAACAAACCAGCATATATTAAAACGTGACTAAGCGTTGACAGTGCAGGCTTGCCAGGATGAAATGGAGGTAAAGCAACGGAAAGCCAAAAACAGCGGTCGATAACTTTATCGCTGAAATAAAAAGCATGGCGTCATTACGGTGCTATAGACCATTACGAAGAACTGATCGGGGGTTTTGCCCTCCGCATTCAACTAAACCTACAAAATAATGCCGAACTCAAACCACGACCGCGCAGCGCCGTTTTAAAACACACAAGGCGATAGATCAACAGCTTTTCTATTCCGCAGCTTTCCAAGGTCATTAGCATGGACACGCGTGTGTAGTTAATTGAGGATGCAGTTGTACCTTCAGTATCTTATAACATTAACATGAATGAAATGGCGCTATTTAGAAAGAAAGAACGTAAAAAAACATCTGCATTCCCACATTTTTAAAAAGTTCTGCTCGCAACCAAATCCAGCGTGGCACGCACGGTGGTTACGACTCATAGCGCCAAAATCATAAATCGAACACGCTAAGGCATTTAAACTACTGCCAAAGATCTGCCGGAAGTCAAAATCCTTACTTTGTCACACTATAGTGGGTAAATCAGCTGAAATATCGTTGTAACCAAAACGCCAGGTCCAAAACTAGCTGATTTTTCAAAAAGCATATCTTCGGTAATATGATCATCTACAAAATTCTTCAAAATTGCCAACTCGACCCCTGCCAAAGCAATTGCCAATGACCACGGGCGTGGTTTTGCAGAAGGCATTGGAGAGGGCCGAGCAGTGAAGATTTGCTCACTTTCTTCTCCAACGTCGGGAGGGGCTTGAGCCCCCGAACTGAGGAGGAAACTACACTCCTGCCAATGACTATATGTGTAGTTTCCTGTTTCCTGTTTCCTGAGAGGCCTTAGCCCCCACCCTGGGCTCCTCCAACTTTGGGAAGAAAGTGGGCCCAATCTGGGGAGAAACTCATTTGACATATTTTGTGGTTAGATTGAGTCACATTTTGCTGTTCAGTCCTCTCCCCCGCCCCTCTAATTCATTTTATGAAACTACGCCGCTGCCAATGACTTTCAGTGAAATGACGCTTTCCTTTCGATTAAGTAACCTCTATTGCTTAGAATGGTCTATTACGTACGTTAAGTGCATTTACGTGGAACATTACGCGCATAGATGGGACAGTATTAAATGCATTATTCCCAATGGAATAAACATGAGAATAAAGAGAAAGGTGTGATGTTTCGGTCACATGCTTTTGCCGACACGAGTATCAGCAGTAAATTCAAACTTGCCTGCCGATTCTACTCAATTTTAACATTCAGGGAATTACACAAGAAGCAGCTACCACTTATTTCTATGATAAATGAGATATTATTTAAGATATGCATATGATGCCTGTTTATTTCACATTTTTTTCTTGAAATCGCTTGCGCGTACGTACGGTGTTACGCATCATGCCCGTTAATTTGAATTCGTTCGAATGTAACGGATTTTTCACGCATCTCAATTTTTAAGTTAGATATGCACTGCATCGTATCAATATCTGGCAATTCCTCCATGTCTGACGCGCGCTCGGGTGGAGGTCAAATTGCCCCCCCCCCCTCGAGCAAAGGGTATCCAGCCTCCCACCCGAACGCGTGTTAATCTCCCGAATGTTGGTGACCTGTAAAAACTGTGGCTCGCTGTTAAAAATATGAAGAATCGTGTCGGCTTGGTATGCAATTTCGAATTTAATACTGATATTAGTTTCGATAAATGTCATGAAGTGATAAATGCAATTATGACTGCTTATTGGCAGTCGGAATTGCAGGTGTAGTGGACGGGCCCACTCACTTGGAGTACTTCAGCTCGTCGAGGGGTGTCGTGCTAATCGGTGCGTTGTTTGCAGAAACATAATGTGGTTCTATGCGCTTGTTTTGGCCCTTTCCCGCGGTGTTTTTGTACATCTTTCTGCGATTTTGTATTGCTTACTCGCATTCAGGTACTCGGCAATGACGCTATTCTCAAGCTATTCGATTCACAGACTTATTTTCGTCATGATTCGTATCAATGTTCAAACTCCTGTATCATATAGCACAAAACGTGGTTCGTGTCGGAAAGCTGCACTCAATGCATTACATTGGTTGAGGGCCAACCGAAATACGTCGATATCAGAAACCGTGCTACCACACATCAGGCACGAACGACACGATCACACTTTTGACGACCTCCGGCATCACATGACCAGTGAGTTGGCAGCATTCACACGATGTTTCCATGGCGTCCTGAATGTCTAAGTGATCTTGAAAAGTCTGCACATGTTCGCGGACGTCAAGATCACACACCAGAGAAAGCTTTAAAGTCGAGTACAGATAGGGCAATGCTGTGAACTGCGCCAAATGATCCTTAAAGTGGCGATCTTAGTTCAAAACCACCTACAAATGTGAAATACTCCACTAGCCATAAGTATGCTATTGGCTATAAGCGACCTGATCATAGCTGATACTTGCTTTTTCAATATTTTCAAATGTGGGACATTTCCTTTAAGGATAGCGTCAGGACGTCCAACATGACTGCTGTATCCTCTCTGCTTTATTTTTCAAAAGTCTGGCCATGTTTCAGGTGCAAACCAAGTGCAGCGTTCCTCGTGTACCATGTTTGGTTGCCATTGAATGTCGCTACCCCAACCAGTGGCAGCGTCCCATCGCCCATCATTCTTGTTTCTTACCGAACCAAGAGCGGCGGTGGTCGCTTTCACTAAGGACGCACAGAATCAGACAGACCAGCCTTCATGAATGGCATACGAAATATGTCATGCCCGACAGACGCCGCCCAGACGGACGCACCCGCAGGCGCCGCGGTCCAGAGCCGGAGCAGGCCAGAGCCTAGCGGACCGAGCGGAGCGGCTGGGGCGCGTGCCGCACGCGGAAGTGCAGCGCACGCACGCCAGCGGTCGTACAAACAGCGCGCCGAGGCCCTGAGAGGCCGCCGCCGGCCTGCGCTAATCGCACCTGCATCTGGGGCCGCCGTATGACAAACACCTGCCGGAGCGGCCGGCGCCGAGACGACCCGAGGCCAGGCCCGGCCGGCGCCGTCCCCGACCGTCCCGACACACGGCCAGCTGGCCGTCCGCAGCTGAGGTCAGGCCAACAGGCGGTCCGCGGGTGGGGTCAGGCCAACAGGCGGTCCGCGGCTGAGCTCAGGCCAGCTGGCGGTCCGCGGGTGAGGTCAGGTCATCTGGCGGTCCAAGAAAGAGGCCAGACCAGCTGGCTGTCTGCGGATGAGGTCAAACCAACTGGAGGTCCACGACTGAGGCCAGACCAACTGACGGTCCGCGGCTGGGGTCAGACCAACTGAGGGTCCTCGGCTGGGGTCAGGGCACGCGCCAGTCAGACAGCCACTGTGGTTGGCCAGATAGCGGCGTCCGGTGCGGGCACACCGAGCGCCAGCGCGGCGGTACGGTCAAACCCAATAACGAAGCGGGCCGGCATGGGGCAATGCTGACTCACGCCTCTTCCGCAACCTTGAGAAGATCGGGCGAGGCCCTGTTGCTGCATGGAGAGAGACAAACTCCATGAACTTCCCCGCCTCCAGCCAGTCTTTCGCGGTGACGGCGAACTGATCGCGGCGAAGACATACTGATCGCTCCCGGGCCGCACGTCGGAGCCCGTTCGTGCGAAGCACACCCCGGCCAACCTTAGGAGACGGTGTGGTGGCGCAGTTCGTGAGCCGCCGCGACACCAGCCGGCAAACCCCGTTAGCACTCGTGCAGGGTCACCGCTACTGCTGTCGAAGGGGGAGGAAAGGCAACAAAGCCCAGCGACCGAAGTGGCTGTTCACGGGCATGACCGACTGCTCTGTGGCCCTGACTAGTATCCCTTCACGAAAATCGGTTAAATTTAACACCAACCCTTAACGCTGCATGACGAATTATTCCCAAGAGCCCCGTTTGCCGTCGGCCTGGCGGCGCCCGGAGCGCGCAGGCCCACGGAGAGCCCGGGCCAGAAGGTGGCTAGCGCTGTGTCGAAGGCCGAGGCGCTGACGGGGGCCACGGACCAACACCGCTCCCAGCCACCCCGCCGGAACCGGACACCGCCGCCGGAACGGCCGACAGGAGCCGATCTCGACAGAAGCCGCGGCGGCGGGCACGTCCAGCCGCGAGATACCGGCGCTGGCTGAGCACTGTCGTCAGCAGCGCGGCGCCCGGCTTCAGTTACCACACTCCCAGTCCACTGGCGGCGCGCCGACCCGGTCTGGCCGGGGTCAGCCGGCTCGCTACTGTCGGGCGCAAGCCGTCGGGTCTGGCTCCGTCCCCGGGCCGCGGCCGCGGGGCGCAGTCACGGCCCGGGCCCCCAGCCCGCCGCTAGCCGGCCTCCCATCCGACACGCGTCGGCTCGTCGCAATCAAGACGCGGCTACGTCACATCCGGCCGGCGGCGTCGAGTGACCGGCCGCGGGCAGTGCGGCCGCAGACCGCGACAACACAGACGCGCTCCGTCACCTGACGGCTCCGGCAGCGCCAGTGTCGGAGCCGGGCGGCGGCCGTGGCGGTCGGGCCCGGGGCCGCTGTCGGTTGTCGGTGCCGGTGCCGGGCCAGGCCGAACCGGGCGACGGCCGTGGCGGACGGGCCCGGTGCCGCTGTCGGTGCCGGTGCCGGTGCCGGGGCCGGGCCGGGCCGGGCCGTCCCCGGCCCGTGCAGCTCGTGCAGCGCGCACCACCAGGCAGGAAGGTCGGCCGCGCCGGGCGCCGGCGCCCTTGCGGCGGTTCTGCAGTCCGCCCCGCACCCGCGG